TCAAGTTAGGAACTGACTTGATCAAGTTAGGAACTGACTTGATCAAGATAGGAACTGACTTGATCTAGTTAGGAACTGACTTGATCAAGATAGGAACTGACTTGATCAAGATAGGAACTAACTTGATCAAGTTAGGAACTGATTTGATCAAGTTAGGAACTTATTGAATCACTCATTTAAGTTAGTTATTAAATCGGCAATTCATAATAATTGCTAAGCCCAATAAGTATCAATACCCACAATAATAGAAGTTTTCTGATACAGCAAATATCATCTGAGAATATCAAGATAGTTTCGATCGGAGGCATAAAAATCGTCGATAGTGACATCACCGAACTGACAGATAAACGACAGTCATATGATCGAAATGATACTTCTCCGAAACGGACTTCGCCGAAGCTCGGCGATCTGCATTTCGGCGATGTGACTTTCGGCAAAGAGCATATTTACCAAATAACTTACCGAATAATTGCCATACTAAAATCCGTTTTTCGAAGGTTGGCGACTACAGGTAAATCGAGGCGAGCTTTAACCATTCTATCGATTTCATCATCTGTCCACGGAGCATTTTTTGACTCTTGACCATCTGTATCACTCTTATAATTTTGCTGGTCTATTTCAAGAAACAAAAACATAATAAGAGATACTGATTCTTAATGGCTTCTATTTACATACTTTTCAATTCGCGACTTTTTCTTTGTATAGCTTGATAAAGATCTTCTCCGACATATTGTCGAATATAAGCACACTGAGGATACCAACGACAATGTTCCACTTTTGGATCGTCACCGTTATCCCAATTACGCAAAGCTCCATTACAATAAAAACACTTTACGATGGTTTTCTCACCTGTACATAAAAGAAAAGCAAACAGATGTTATTATTAGTTTTATCAATAAATATATTCAAAATTTTACCAGTATAAAAAAATCCAGCATCAACAAATGATTGAACAGAAGGTAATGGATTTTCTTTTGTATGAGGCCAGTTTTGAAATGTTTCATATCTACGATATGCTAATGAATAAGTACTATTCAGTGCATCAACAATAGCTGATGTATTGTGCTGAGTCGTGATCGTTATATTTGTGGTAGTAGATGAAGTAGATGAGTTTTTTTCCGTTAATAATACAAATGGACATTTCGGAGATTTTAAACGATGTATTTCATATGGCCGATCAGTTTTTGCCCATTTATGAAAGAGTGTTTTGCAATAAACACATATGACACGATCTGCAATATTAGTATATGACCATCCTGCAATAATCATATCTTGTGCCGTAGGTGTAATTAATGGCCAATTTGAGAATGTATTTGCTCGCATTTTATCGATTGTTTCACGTGTTATAGAATTCAGAAACAATATTTGTGGCTCTGAACTGTCTTCATGATCATTTTTCTTATATTCGATGTCTTTTTGAAGATTGTAATCAGAAACGCTCATTCGTTGACTATCTGATATGAAATGCGTAGTTCGTATATCTGAATGTATGAACAGAGAAATGTTCAACTTTAATAATTTCATAAAAAAAAAAACATACCATTTTTTGATAATAATGCATTTTGATCCGGAACAAATTGACACTTAGGGCTTCGTTTCATATGCTCTTCAATTGGATTGATATCTGATGACGATAATTCACATTCAAAATCACATCCATCACATTTCATTGTATCTGATGTCTCTATATAGTAGAGACCAACTTTTGCAAGAAATCCCTTTGAAAGTATTGATTGATTGTTTCGCTTCCATGTTCGAAATGTTGCTAGTCGACGTAATTCTGATTTCATAGATTTGACTCCATTAGAACTTGCTTGATTGTCCAAAACTTTGTGTTGGGCGACATGAGTGGACGACATAGCTTTAGCTGCCATTTCGTTTGAGAGTTCGTAAATTTTATTAACAGAAATTGTTTAATAACTATGAAATACGTTACATTACAATGTATTATTTAAAACAGTGCAAAATGGTTTTTTTCTAATGATTAGAGGATATGTCCAAACAAAAATGTGGAAATTTTGCTCATGTTTTTTTCCGATGACTTTTGCTGCTTATCATAATATATACATATATATTATGAAGCTTAAAATCATTGATTTAATTACTAATATAAAATGATTTAGTTCTTTGAAGCTTTCTATTGAAAGAAAACACTGGTTTTCTTTATCAACTACACAGAACAATAAAAAAGTAAATAAGCGCGCATGGTAAGTCATCTTTCGTAAAGAACGCAAAAATTGTTTTTATTTTTTGTAAAGTTCTTTCCTCAATATATAATTTTAAAGAGAATTTCTGACACAATCACAAAAATTAGTCAAATATGTGCTAAATTATCATTAAGAAAATTTCAAAATTTCTGACACAATTTGATTATATTTACATTGTGAGTAACCTTTTATATTATACAATTCAACATGTCATTGTAATGTTGCAAAAAATTTTTGAGTCAGAGCATGTCGTCATTATTACAAAAGCATTGTTGCATAATTTACATAAATTATAGTATTTTCGTTTCATATAAAAATACATATTGATAGTAACTATCAACAATAGATGAAAATGTTGGTTTTGATAAAGTCTTTTTATTTGAATAGTGTATTAATTCGAGTTAGAAGCTACGAGAGAACTGCTCCAAGTGATTTTAAAAATTATCCTGATATTTTTCTCGTAATTAGTACTCACAAAAGAACTACCCAAACGGACACCCGCTGTTTCAGCTCGTATTGAGCTGATAAGCAGGTTTTAGTGAGACTAGCAAAAGGCTAAAAGGATTCACTTCGATGGATCTTGGCACCAAATTATGATTGGTTTACCAGATTTTTCGATTCATTCGTGGGTAGTTTCCAAAAAATCAGAATGCAGAATTTCCATCTAAAAATCTCATCGTCTATAGATGTCATGATCCTTATAGCGGCTTGAATGTCACAATCAAAATGAATATTTCTTTTTCTCGAATTAATGAGTTTTTAAGAAAAGATTGGTTTTCGTGACATGTAGTATCATCTAGGTGTTATTTGAAGACTCAATGTACTGAGAAAGAAGTATTCGTTTTGGTTTTGACATGTAGGTCGCTATAACGATCATGAGACCTATATCTAGTGAAACTTTTAGATCGAAATTTGCTACTTCAAGTTTTCGGGCAATCTCTAGTGATAGGTAATGAACCTAATAAAATGGTCATAACTGAAGAAGAAAGACCTATGAATCTTCATCTTCCTAGACTTTTTCTAGTATCACCGAGTGCTACTTATGAGGAAAATATCTGCGTAAAAGTTCTGAATCACTTGAAATGGTTTTCTTATTAGTAAACTGCATAAAAATGTTCATGTTTCTCTGAGGAAATTAATAATGCATGATTAATCTATTCTATGAGCTATTATTTGTATCAATAAATAAAAGGAAAACTTATTTTCGAATCTCACTTTCAATCACTTATTAAAAAGCAATCTAATATAAGTTTTTGTGAAGGTAGTCAACCACTAACCACTTGTAGTCAGAGAGAAGTTTACCTTAATGTGTATGTACAATCAACTGTATTGTTGCGAGCGGAGGAGTATATATATATATATATAAATGGGTTCGGAACAAAAGAAATGTAGTGGAAGGTACTAGAAATTCCAGAACTCACACGAGAGTACTAGTGACAACATATAAGATCAATAGAGAAAGAGAATGAATACACTGGAACATACTGGAACAGAGAACATATATGTATTCACTCATGACAACATAACGAAAGAAGATATAGATGGAATACATATATATATGATGACATCACAACACTGATAGGAAGAAAAAGATGACACCTGAAAGCTGACGGCATCTAACATTTTTCTGTTAGATTCAATAAAAAACTAAGTTCACAATATCTATTTTCTTATAGTGTGAGAACAGTTCTGAAATATTTCCGCATGAATGATTTTTGAATTACTTATCTAATTGCTTGAGTATTAGACTTACGAGGGAGCATTCCCAAGTGTCCCATCGTTTTTGAGTTCGGACTCTATGCATAAGGTAGATCCCAGTGACGTATGAAAAACCCCAGAAGAATAAGTGCCCTTAGGCCTTCTGTCTAGAGTTATAGGCATTTTACCGAAACTTTAGCCTTTGGCATGGTAAATACCGACAAATCAAATGATGGTATTTCGACCTAAAATTTTGCCCACAAATAGATCTATTTGTGAGTAGAATACGCTGAAAATTTCAGCTCAAAAGAATGTTTTATTCCTGAGATATTAAAGTCCCAAAAATCAATGATATCCCACGAAAGATGCTAGAATTTACTGTTTTTTGGGACTTTAATATCTCAGGAGTAAAACATTCTTTTGAGCTGAAATGTTCAGGATATTCTACTTACAAATAGATCTATCTGTGGACAAAATCTCAGGTCGAAATACAGTCATTCGATTTATCGGTATATACCACTGCAAAGGCTAAAATTTCGGTAAAATGCCTATAACTCTAGACAGTAGGCATAAGGGCACTTATTCTTCTGGGGTTTTTCATATATCATTGGGATCTACCTTATGCATAGAGTCCGAACTCAAAAACGATGGGACACTTGGGAATGTTACCTCGTTAGACTTGTTTTAAAAATGCAAGAAACTTTATTAATATGAAGTTTTACTGACACGACGAATTTTTGCATGAGAGAAAGACACATACTGAGCATGGCAAATTACTTCTTTACATATCTTTCGTTGATTTATATAAACCTTGAGAATTTTATCTTTGTCATTTCACATTAGAACGAAATTTGGATCTAAAAAACATCTGATGAATCTGCTCGCTTTCAACTACTTGTGCAATATTAATGAAAATTACTGTCACACTGTGAAATATACTATATCTGAGTAAAGGAAAGTATCTCGACCTTACAAGAACACCAATGAGATGACAAAGAAACAACTGAGAGAAAGATAAAATTGTTTCTTTTTTTACCCTATGATTCAAGTTGTCGACAAAAGAATCGAATTTCGATGGAAAAAAAAATGAAAACTTTCTTTGTGTAAATAAAGGAGATATTACCAAGCATTTCGTCATGGTCACATTCCTACGAAACATACAGAAAGAGAAAGGTTATAAACATTCCCTTTCATTGATAGAAAATCCCACTCGCGCAAAAAATAATAACAAGATCAATAAAGAATATGACTTTAATATAAAGGTAATACTCTTGACTACAATTTTAAACAAGTTTACAATTGAAACCTAAGAAACAAATACAGTTTATTTCAATATATATTTCTTGTGAATCTTTAATAATTGTATATCAAATTATTTTCTTGTGTAACTGTTAAAGAATACTAATTGATTCAAATTTTTAATTAATATAGGTTAAAAATTCAACTAATGCTGATTTCTATTCTTTTTTCACTTACTGAAAAAGAAGTGTTGCGAAAAAGTTGTATAATACTTTTTTTTTCAAACAAGTGTCGGTAAGAATGTGAGCGACTTCTGTTTTATCAAAACGTTTTTTCCCAGTTGTCGAGGCAAACTTACCAATAGAAACGTAAATTTTACTTTCTTTCTTTTTGCTATCTCTAACTGTCAGAAACGTAAAAGAAATATTTTTCTTGTCAGTCTTGCTCAGTCCCAATATTTCTTCCATAAATATTTGTAATTACTGAGTATACAAAAAAATCTAATAGAAACAAACTTTGGTGAACAAAATCATTTTTCATTAACCTAACTCTCATGTCATATGCCATAAGTCACAGCACATACACAAACGAAAGCAGAAGATCAGAACAATAGTGTTAATTGAAGTGATCCGTACCTAATCAGTAAAGTTGGATCGGAACAAAATCACACGGCATGTCATCATGAATAGTGAATTTATTGCGTAACTCATTTCGCCATGCATTTTCTGACTCTAATTGAGCAATTAGATAAAGTGTTGGTTACATGAAAAATAAAAAGAAATATTCTTTTTTCTATTCTTAGTCTTTCAGAAAAGAATTGTGTGAGATAGTATTTCAACATCATAAAATATGATTCAACACATGAAAAAAACTTAGTCATAAAAGGAATAGATTAGGTTGTGAGTAATTTATTTTTTCTCGTCACGATTTATATTAACGTTTAATCAAACCTGATGAAAAAAGAATTATCAGACATTTCCATATGACTAAACATTTATTTCAATCATATACCATACCCATCGATCCATAAAAAGTTTATGTTCGACGAATAAATCAGTTTGAGAAAATTTGAGAGAATTACCCACAGCAGATACATTGAAATAGTTGTGATGCATAAATTTAAAATATTCTATAAGATAAGAAACAGTATTCAAAAAGTTTGTCTTGTGTTCGTTCTCTTTCGCCCTTTTATATAGATATTTTGTTAGTCTTATTTCTTTCTTTCTTTCTTTCTTTCTTTCTTTCTTTCTTTCTTTCTGTCAGTTATTTTTTTCTATTGTTGTCTCTTGATTCCTTTCTTTGCTGGTGTCCTTGCTGTTATATAATGGCTCATGTAATATTCAACATTACCATGCTATATCGCGGTATATTCTATCTGATAACTCATATTAATATCTATTGGGTCTATGTCAAAGACTTCTGTTCTAGCTGTCCTAATAAACTTCGGTGATACAACAACATAGTATGATACTAACAATTCATGCACTATAATAATATGCATAGTACAGTTGAAAACTTAACGTGTTATTGCATAAAAGCAGTGACATCGATTGGAAAACTGTGAGTTCTTACAGATCCGGAGACAGTTTTTACAAATTGAAAATACGTATGTGAAGGTTCGGAAATCTTGAAGAATTTCCGAAAATGTTACTACCTGATACGTTTTAAGGCTTTCTAAGATCGTATTTGAAACTCTATACTTTCGACTTCCAAACAAAGAGATCCGCTTT